CTTCATTTTAAGCATCGGTGAGCACGGACCCGGTGTCCAAACAGTCTTAGGCTTCGATGCTTTCCTAACCGAAGCATATAGTCTTCGCGTTGTGCTTCAAATTCCAGAGTTTGCTCATTTCTTCTCGCGTTGTGCTTCTTATTTCTCTTCGCGTCGCCGCTGTTCTCCCAAGGGCTGCCTCCACCAGCGTTGTCGCTTCGCTTCGTCCGTCGTCGCTGCCGTCCATTGCTTCTTCGGTTCTTCTTCTTCGCGTTGCTGCCGTCCATTTCTTCTTCGCTGTTCTTCAGTTTAGATCCGAAAAGGGTTCGGCCCTTATTTCTTGTTTAGATCAGAAAAGGGGTGTTCATCCTTCTTCCCTGTTTAGATCTGCGCACAATAGGGCGAGATTATCTTCTCACGGAGAGACCCAACTTTGTGGCAGCACCACCAGCGGTCTCGTGCAAGCCAAAGACGGAGGCGCGGCGAAGGCGCAAGGGCGCAGTGGTCGTTCCTTTTCTTGTGGCGGGGCGCGGGAGGGAGGCTTCCTTCCTCTTCTCTATTCCGATTCGTCTAGGTTTTTTATTTCAATTTTTGGATTTTTGATTGGAGTTTCTGCTTGTTCCCTGTTCAATTTCTTCTTTTTGTCAAACTTATGTTTCGGGAGAAGAAGGAATATCCGGGGGCGGAAGGGGCGATGGGGTGAGTGGTGGCAGAGTTGAGACCTCCAGGAACAGAGGAACAGAGGAACAGAGGCTGGTGGAGAATCCTTCTTGTTTCACTGAAAATGCGGAATTGCGTTGTTGTGTTGGTAGCTCTGAAAGTGGGAAGGTGAAATGATGATGGTGGCAGTGGAAGATGGGTGTCTGCTTATGCATAAGAACATACATCAAGAACATCCTAAAGGTTAAAAAAATTAAAAAACAAACAAGTTACTGCCTCAGTTACGTAAAAACCGAGACATAAATCCTGTTCTTTTTAACTCAGTTCACAACCGAGGCATAAAACCTACTCCTTTTTACCTCGCCGATATATGTCTCGGTTGTAGAACCGGTACCTATAAACAAAAGTAACCGGTGCAGTATCCTCTTAGTGCACTAGTGTTTTTATCTATTCTCTTCTCATGTTTTAAATGTTGCTTCTATATCCCTTTACCTAGCTATTCGATTTTAACATAAAATCCCCATTCAATATTGATAAATATAAATAATATTCAAATTTTAAATTAAATATAAAAAATATCCATTCATCTTCATTCGTATATCAGTTTTCTTTTTAAATTATTAAAATATATTTATCTTATTAGATATTTTAACAAATTTATATTAATTTTACATAGTCTTGGTCTCATCATTTATTTTCAAGGCACTTTGTTATTTTTACTTTTTTTTTCTATAATTGTTTTACATCTTTGATATTTTTAAAACATATTTATATAATTATGATGTTTTTTTTGGTATTTGACATAGAGAAAAAAAGTATGTTTTTTTTATATATATTTGATTATGAGACAAAAATTATATATTTATATGTAAATAAGGATGAAGATAAACATTTTTACTTCAAATGAAATAATTAAATACGTATTCGTTCTACCATCCCATGTTGCGGTCTTTAATCAACACACTTAACATTTATTCATAATATTTTGGTTTAATAGGTTCGGAGGTCCCTATATTTGCGGGTTCGTTTCACTTGGGTCCTCCAATTTTAAAAGTGATCAATTAGGTCCCTAATTTAACAAAATTGAGTCAATAATACCCTTTCCGTTAAATGCAAATCTGAATGCAAATTAAAAATTGCAGAAATTGCCACGTATTAAGCTCAAACTCTGCCACCTGCAAATAAAATGATGCCTCAGCATGCCACCTGTTTAATTTGCATTCAGATTCCCTTGCATTTAACGGAAAGGGTATTATTGACTCAATTTTGTTAAATTAGGGACCTAATTGATCACTTCTAAAATTGGAGGACCCAAGTGAAACGAACCCGCAAATATAGGGACCTCCGAACCTATTAAACCTAATATTTTCTTCTTAACATATTCTTTTACATATTAATATTCTAATCTTAAAAAATCCTCTTATTTTTTGTAAGATAATCTTATTTTAAATATTCAATGCGAATTTTAACACTAGAGCTAAAAATTATATTATAGTGTACATAATCCAATTTCTTTCATAAAGACATAAGATTTGTGGAGAAATCCATTAAGTTATATCAACTATGTTTTTCATTTTTACTACAACGACGTTGTTATCTTTTTAAAATAAATAAATAAACATTTTTTATTATATTAATCAAATTGCTTTTGTTATGGTGCAACTTGCGTGCTAATAACTCTTCCAAATAACTCACATGTCAGAGTTAAATACGCAGAAACTATTTGTCCTTTCAACCAATTTACCATTTATAATGTCTTTTACATACCATAGTTTACTTCAAGTATTATATACATATACAAAGACTTATATATTCTTTAAACTATCATTTTTTTCCTCAAATGAATATTGGGTACCTTTTAGTATACCTTCTATATGTTTACACAAAAACTTTCCTATTATTATTGATGGTCAGAGTAGATACTCTAGGATTTATCTTATGAAGAAAAATAGTGAAACTATAATTTTACTTTATGGCTTTGTTACATTTATCCAAAATTAATTTAACAAAATCAGTAAGAGCATAATAACTAACAATGCCAAGAATTCAATTATAAATGATTTTTATGACAATACTAGCATAATACATCAAACTTCTTACATTAGAAATCTAAAAAAAACCTAAGTGGAAATGAAAAATTAACATCTTCTGAAAATTACGCGATACTGCCTCATGTTTCAATCAAAACTTACAAAGGTTTTTGGTCTTTATGTTATTGTGCATGTTATCGACTTTTATAAACAAACTTATCCTATCATAAATAACAAATGTCCTTTTCAAGTGTTTTAAATTAGCACCCAGTCTCTTAAACTTACTAGGTCTTCAAATGTCTTTATTTTGTCTACACATCTAAAAGGATAATAATATATTAATATAGATTTTTTACAACATTTTAATATTATTTTTATTAAAAAAATAATTTTAAGAATAAAACAATTTTTGTTAAAAAAATAAAATTGATAATGAAATATGTACACTAAAAAAATTATTGAGCAAAACAATTCCTTCTATATATATATAGTTATATATAGATAAAATTACACTATTAATAATTTCTTACGTGGACGGTGGGCCAGTTCGCAAATCCACAAACCGTATGGAGGACTAGAAAAATTAATCTGATTTTTTTATGCCGAAGGGACTCATCCAACCTGCCTTTTGGGAGCCAAATGAAGGACCAATCAAAACGGTTTGCTTGCATTGGCATTCTTATTCAGCACCAAACTATCATCCTCCATTATAGAAATCGGTCATATTTCATTTGTGCCATCCCTTGTGGACCAATACTCATCCAAATACCTTTAAGTATTTCTCACAAACTTCCACACTACCCTTTAGTTCTACAGGATTCCTACAGTGGGAGAGGGAAGGATCCTCTATAACGAGTCTTCAAGTGTTTGCAGTACATAGTTCAATGTGTTTTTTTACAGCCATCTTCTTTACAATTTTAATTGATAGAATCATTATTTTCATCCTATTTGAGATCTTTTTCTTCTGCCATGTTTATACATCAACATTAAAACCACTAATTATGATAACGTAATCATCCCAAAAAGCTTAATTATTCAAAAACCATGGATTAATAGTAATACATCTCGATAGCCTGATCGTGTTGACCAAGATGATCGTGACAAAAAGAAGGAGAAGAAGGAGGGACAAGTAGAATGGGAGGAGATGCTCAGAGACTTAATCATCTGGTTTTTAAACGTAAGGGGCAATTAAACACAACAATAATTCAAACATAAGAACAAAAACAAACACAAACACACATCAACATCATGTTAATTAGGGCCAACATCATCCAGGATTAAGAAATAATATTAGGTTATTTTGATTGTAGTAACTAAATAAAACCAAAAGTGTTTGTTTGTGTTGTGCACCCACAGATAAAGAATGAAAGAGGTCCACTTGTGTATAAAATAAACTGTGAGTGGGTGCCTGAGAGCAGAAAATAGGTGGAGTATCCAAATACTGATGCTAGTGGCTGCACATATTAAAAGCACAAAGAAACAAACTGCTTACAAAGGCTTAAAGCTACACCAGCTACAAAGTGGACCTCAGTGCTTTCCATTGTTTGAAGTCTTGACCTAAGACCAAAGTCACCAAAACTCTAACGCATTACACAACAAAGCAAAACTAATAGCAGAGGATATGGTTATTATGCTTGTGCTAATCATGCTTCATGCGTCGCTCTCGACTATTGACTCATTGGTTTTCTATTCAATAATGCATCTGAATAATTCACCACCCTTTTTATCCACAACTTTACATTGTTTCGTCCTCTTCCATTAACCCCCTAAGAGGAACGAAAGTACACCTCCTGAATTTTGCAGAAAATCGGAAATAAACAAAGCTAAAAGGATATTTGTCATTCCGATATTGATCGGGATTTTACGTCCAATTGGTGCTGTCACATAATCAAGATCAGCTCCATCATGGATCCAAATCATTCTCTAAAAGTAAACAAGCACCTCATTGGAAATCATCTACTGGGGCACTACTTTTCTTCCTCATCTTCTGACAAAGAACAGAAAAAAATTGTCGACAGAAAAATCTACCTCGTAATTATAGTTTATTAGTAATAATCATGTAAAATAAACGAATCACGAAAGAAGAAAATAAAAAAGAAACAATTGAACGATATTATTATAAAAGGTACTCCATGATGAGTAACACTCCAACTATGCAAAAAGATAGTAATAATTGAAAGCAGACACCGACATTTTAAAGAATTTGAGGATCAAGTACGTTGATTACTGTGACTCTCCCACTTGGTTACGTGAAATAACAGACGTCCTATTTGAGTGTATAAATATAATGTATACTATACTATTAATTTTCTATGCACCAATTCATGTACACGCCACTCCACTATATAAACACAAGCTATCTGTGGTGCACCAGTGTGCTATCTTATTCTTGTGCCTCAAGAAATAGGCTAGTCCCAAGCAGAAACAAGATGGCTTGTTATCAACAAAAACTGTTTGAAAGACTGAAGCCATTCATAGGTGTAGTTTTCTTGCAGTTTGGATATTCTGGTATGGATGTTCTATCCAAGGCTGCACTCAACAGGGGAATGAGTAACTATGTATTTGTTGTGTACCGTCATGTTTTTGCCTTTGTTGTCATGGCCCCTTTTGCAGTGTTCTTGGAGAAGTATGTTTTTCTCTTCCATTTATGTGTGTACGATTATTTGTGTGAACATGTTATTGAAGTAATGCTGCAATACTTTTAACAGGAAAGTGAGGCCGAAGATGACGTTTTCGATCTTCATGAAGATAGTGATTCTCAGCCTGCTAGAGTAATTTCATGCATGCATGCTTTTTACACTTTCTGCTAACCATGCAATATTCATGCACTTAACTCTGTCATTACTTTCTTATGGCAGGCCAGTTATTGATCAAAATTTATACTTTTTGGGAATGAAGTACACCACAGCAACCTTTGCTGTTTCCATGTACAATGTTCTCCCTGCCATTACCTTTGTCATGGCTTGGATTCTTAGGTAAAATTCTCATGCCTTTCAACAATTCAGGTTTATGTCTAAAAAGACATCATAAGTTTTGTTGGATTCTATTTTTGAGGGTGTATGATTACATAAATATAATATGAGCTCAACTCATACAAGAATGGAAAACATTTTAAACTCAAAACCTCAAAATATTGAGTTTGAGTTTTTTTTTTTATAATATTTAATTTTGCTATTTCTAATCAATGAGACTTAAGTTCATTGTATTTCTAACAAGCTTTTTTATTAGAGACATAGTAACATTAATACAAAGAAGGTTGTATAATTATTTTGTATAACAATAAGAAAGCTGGAAAGAGAAGAAAGATGAATATCATGATAGAAAGAAATTAAGAGAAAACAAATTATAGAAAGTGTAACAAGACTTTTATCATTAAAAAATTACAAATTAAAGGTATATATATATATATA